TCCAGTGCTTAATTTCGATCGAACCTTTGCATCTACACGTCTGCTGGCTGCTTGACAAGCTCCTCGCAGACCCTGCATGTGACAGAATAAATGAGCGTGGACTGGTATCACAACACTGTCATTTTAATTCCGTCGTATTAGCCAGTTGAAGATTGATGCAATGCGCTTGGAGCTGACTGAATACCGCCCCGTACCAAGAGACTTCCTCCGACTTTGACAATCTGTTCGACGTTGGTAGATGCTGGGTTGTTCCATCCATTATTAAATGTCGAAAATTATTGTTTATCCACAATTCATCGAGACGTCTCCCAGCGGGTGATTGAGAAAAGCTGTTGAGCTCCTTTCGAAATGAAGTAGAAACTCTGTAGAAAGCTATGGACGTGGTATCCAAGTCAAACCCATCTAATGAGCTTGCTCGATGAGGCTAAACAAATACAATGTGGTTCTCACAGTAGAATCTTGGATTAGCTGTGCATATGAGGGTTGGACGTGGTTAGCGCCCAGCCGGATGCCCGGCTGCGTGGAGGCGTTCAATCGAGGGCTTTTCAGCCAGTTTTCTGAAGGAAATTTCAATTTTATGCGAGAAAGCCTTGTCTCTGGATGTGGGTTTATTCCTCTGTGAATGCGATAGGCCCTAGGTATCAAAACGTCCGCTGAATCACTATAAACTACTAACCTTAACCATGTTTGCGTAGGCTGATAGGGGGATTAATTTTCATATCAAGTCTTGGATCACATCCAGTTTACCACACATATTTTCAATAGTTTAAGGTCCAATTTGGTGATTGCAAAGAGATAAATTTTCTCAGTGTTGTGGTTAAGGTAATTTGCAGCTTGAATGCAGCTTGAATGTCAAGAAACGAAACTTGGACATCCCGGATGTTGTTCCGAAAACCTTAACCGGTATGTTCCAGACACACCTATGTAATTGGGGTGTCATAAATGAAAAACTGGTATGTAGTGGACAAAGTAGCCTTGAATTATCCTAAGAGAGTTGAAATGTCAAACCAAAAATTTACTGTCGGGTTTAGAAAAACAAGTCCCTCTTTGTGAAGGCCAACCTCTCCTCATGAATCGCATAAAACCTCGATTATCTTGAAATGTGTTCACGTTCATGATGTTATATCGCAGGACGCAGTATGTCGTGCGAAAGAAATTCAATCAATCCTTAATTGAATGAGTATATGGTTGCAGAATGTGACTTTCGATGTCGAGTTTATTAAATGGATGACCAAACGAGTCAGAAATGCCATAAATGCATACATTTGAACTTTGGTTGGAACGCGTCCTATCACAAAATATTTCCTCTATAGTCACAAGAGTTCGTAATTCACGCCATCACCGAATGTTATCACATCACTGAACTTTGTCTACCGTTTCACTGCCGAACTTCTGTACAATATATGGGGCAGGATACAGGATGACGTCAGATGGTACAAGATGGAGTAATATGCTCACGCCATTTAGGGAGAGAGAGAACCACGGGAAAACAGTACGATTTGTAAAGTAAGCTTGCTTTCTCTTAGGTTGCCACGTTGCAGCATGACGTATTCGGAAATAACTGGCTGAAAAGTGATAACAAGGGCACATT